TGAACGCGTGCAATACGGGAGACCAAGACTCGTGAAGCAGGTGACCGAGTTCTGAACTTTCCGTTGACAAGCGGAGCCGACAGCCGAGTGGCGAGCGCCCTAGGGCTTGGTGCACCAGACACCCTCAGCCCAGGGGTCGAATCCTGGTGGGGGCGAACATTTTCTTGTTGTTTTTTTGGCAGGGGGAGGGGGGGCTGCTGAGTAGGCGGTCTAGTCCACCTCCCCATGTCGGCTGGTCTTTTGTCTTAACCCTTGGTCCCCGCGCCGCAAACTACTAAATATGAAAAAATGCGCCTCGGCCAGTATTCGAATCGACAACCATCCGCGTCCCGAGCGCGCGCTCTACCGACTGAGCCAATAACGCTGTTGCGTAAAGCTTACCTCCGCTGTGGCTCTCACCCTAAAACACGTGGCCGGCAGAGGTGCAAAAGGGTTCCTCCGACGAGATTCGAATCAGCGACCATCTGCGTACCGGGCCATCACATAGGTGTTGCACGGATGAAAACTTATGGCCAGCGAAGCGCGAAAAATATCACTCAGACGGGATTCGAACCTGCGATCAAGTCCATGCTGGGGCAGGACGCTACCGACTCAGCCCCGGGTGAACGATAGTCTACGCAGCTCCCGGCGACATCCGGATCTCAGCTGTCTCTGACACCCGAAGACACATGGCCAGCCGAGCGGGAAAAATGTTCCGCGGACGGGATTCGAACTAGCGACCGTCCCTACGCTTGGCCAACGCACACGCTTTAGCACGCTCGACTACCAGATCGACCTTCCCGGTGCTAGTTCTGAGCTCGGTCCTGCCATACAGAAGAGAAGAGGCGCAAAAAAAAAAAAGTTTGACCCAGCCGGCAGTCGATCCCAGGGCCGACAACTTTGGTTCGGCTGTGACCGCTGTGACCGTGCCGCCTGTGTAGCGGTGGGGGGGGGGGGATATCATGTTTTGTCCGAAAAATGATCTTCTATAGTCTGGTCATATTGAGCTGATTAGCTGATTCTGGTCTCCGGATATGTGGCCACAAACTGGGACGTGCGCTGTGCTGTAATGGCCGCGAGCTACCTCCGCACCGCACCTGTGTAGAAGACGGACCCCTCCTTGTTGTTGACGCCCATCATGATGGGCACCGGCGCGTAGCGTCCCTCGCGGACCAGGTGGTCGGGGTGCTCCGAGAGGAAGGCCTCCTGCCCGGGGAACTCGGTCTCCACCACGGGCACGAACGGGACCCTGCCCATGATGCTGCGCACGTCCTGCAAAGTCTCAGTCTCATGACCGCGGCCTTCGCGCACCCACCGCCCTGCGGCTCCCCTTGCTGCACCCGCACCTCGTCCCCCAGCGTGTCGACGAGCTTGTCGTCCATCAGGGTGTGCGAGATGTGCTGCAGGAAATGCAGCCTCTTGTCGGGGTCGGCCGCCGTCTCGTTGTCGGCGCCGCACACCTCCGCCAGGCGGCGCGAGAAGCGGTCGCTGTCCTCCGTGAGGACGTACTGGTTCTGCGCCGTGCTGCTGGCCAGGATGACGCGGTGGAAGAGGCCTGCGCGTGAGGGGTATTACTCACAAAAATCAGTGTTCACGCACACAAAACTTTAGGAAAAGATCAGAAAAAAATCAAGAAAACAAAAAACAAACAAACAAGAAAACCAAAATAAGAAAATCAAGAAAAGAACATAAAAAGACAGAAAAAATCAGAAAAATTTGTGTACGCTTCGGAAAGGACCCCTGCCTGCGCGGCATAGGGCGAGGTTCATGGTTGGGACCGTGAACACGTAGCAGGTAGCTACACTCACCGCTGGACATGGGGGACATGAGGTGAAGGGCTGCGGACGCGGAGCCCGCCGACTCGCCGTACAGAGTGACGCTGCCGGGGTCGCCGCCGAACGCGCGGATGTTGTCGCGCACCCAGCGGAGCGCCATGACCTGGTCCTTGAGCCCGGCGTTGCCCGGCGCCTCGGCGGAGTTGGTGGAGAGGAAGCCGAGCGCGCCCAGGCGGTAGTTGAACGTGACCACGACCACGCCCTGCTCCACCAGGTAGTCGGGGCCGTACAGGCTCATGTCCCCGTTGCCCGCGATGAACCCGCCGCCGTGGATGAACACGACCACCGGCGCGAGCTCGGTGGCCGGCAGCGTCGTCTAAGGGTTAAGTCCAAGAGGCTGAGAACCTTGTAGGCGTAGGCTCACGGTTCGAGTGGCCACGCACGCATCGCCTGCCATGCCATACCTGAGGCGTGTACACGTTGAGGAACAGGCAGTCTTCATTCATCCGTCTAATGTAGTTGAAGAGGAACTTTGCCATACCTGGCATCGACACTATCATCTTGAGCATGCTGCCCATGGACTTGATCGGGGACGTTTTCTGCAGCACCGAATGATAGAGCCACCATCATTAACAAAACCAACAACAGAACAGCTCGGGGACGGCGGCACGGCACGGAAGGTCGTATGGATAAGATCGACGACCTTCATGTGGCGGCGAAAGGACACTGGAATTATTATTTTTTATTTCATATATTTTTAAAAGACCCAATTGTCCTCACCGACACTCTATGAGGTTGCGGGCAAATGTTGCCTTCGGAGAGGGTGTCCTTGACGTCCTCCCAGGGCTCCGCTGGCAGAGGGGCCTGTCCAAAGAATGTAAAGTGGTACGTTTTTTTGGTATCTCGATATACAGGGTGGTCCACAGACCCTTCCTTTGTTTTGCTTATACAGTACCGCGCGCATGCGTGCAGGTGGTGCAGGTGGGCTTGCTTACTGTCGCTCATCATGGCGCCTTATGGCTCCGTGCGAGTATGCAACCCGCCCGCACCCATGCCTGCGGTAGAGTATAAGCAAAGTAAAGGAAGGGGTCTGTGGACCACCCTGTATGAGCATGAGCACTCTTCCTTTCCAGTAACGTACTAGCCGTGCAGCGCACCGTACCTTGAACCGAAGGTCTCCCACGGGAGGTTTGGCGTAGGGAATGCCCTGGAAACTTAAGAACACCTTCCCGGAGGGAGACGTTCGTTCGCGACCCCGAACCTCCCCGGTGTCCACTTTCACTTGTGTACCTACGGGAAAAGAGCCTTCACAAACTCGTTCAGGTTACATAGAAATAGCTCTCTTACAAATCGACTTACTGTAGGTGATGGTGACCATTCGCTCGGCAATAATAGTCGCCACAATCCCGCCTGCCAGAAGGACAACGCAGGCCAGGATCACGCCTTTTCGAGAGTTGGAAAACACATGTCACTACAAAGACTCTTTTAGACACGTCATCACTAAATCCGCCCTCATAACTCACCACAAACCAGGCCGATTGACATCCATGTCGCGTTTAAGGCTGCCGGCAGAAAGCGACGACCTGCGACACGTTACTGTTTGCACACCATGCCTTTATTGCCAGTGGATAGAACGCGATTAAAGTGCTAGAAAACGACACTCACCAAATGTGCTCAAATTCTCCTGGATCTGAACCATGCTGCTACGTGTTCCCCGAGCTCGTGGCTACTGGCAAGTTGTCGCAGTATCCGCCCGAGATCGTGAAGCTGCTGGGTGGGCTACGGGAGGTGGGGAGCGATACTGTCATACACTGAGCACGCTACCGACGCGACGCGCACGCTAACTCGTCAACATTATTTGGGAACTATATATTTTTCGTTATTGTTATTGGAATGGTGATAGGTGGATTTAGACTAGCTTAATGAATGGGTCGACATCTTCGAAACTCTTCCGTGGGGGTGGACCCCATCAGAATAGGAATTTTAAGGATCCATGCGGCTCTGTTAAAGAACGCCCAAGGAAGGAAGCTCCAGCTCCCATCTCTTTCGTGTCAATCGAGCCGATCCGGAAAAAAGACGTCAACACAAGTCCGTCAAAACCCACCCCTAAAAGTTCAATCCTCCATTACACCAAATTTAAAAGGGTGTAGCCTCGGGTGTAGCGCCAGGCGCGGCATCAGGGGCACCTACCGTACAACAGGCTAATATGGACCATGCGGAGTAAAGTGGACCACCCTCTTCTTTCTATGTTCCGCTTCTGCTCGACTACTACCACTTAGTCGTGTTTCTGACAATGCTGGGCGACACAGCTCAGTGGTTGCGCAAGTCAAGCAGGGGTGGTCCACATTACCCCGCATGGTCCATATTAGCCTGTTTTACGGTCGGCAACCTGTGCCACACAACCCCTAAAAGTAGGCAACCCACCGTGCACCCCC